GAAGTGCTAATGCCACTTTATAATGCCTTCTTAGGCCACATTTGGAATATTGCATCCAGTTTTGGTCACCACGATGTAAAAAAGATGTTGAGACTCTAGAAAGAGTGCAGAGAAGAGGGATTGGAGGCTAAAGATGTTGAGGCTCTAGAAAGAGTACATGGTCAGGGGATTGGAGGCTAAAACATATAAGGAACGGTTGCTGGAATTGGGTATGTCTAGTTTAATGAAGAGAAGGACTAGGGGTGACATGATAGCAGTGTTCCAATATCTCAGGGGTTTGTCACAAAGAAGAGGAGTCAAGCTACTCTCCAAAGTATCTAAAGGCAGGATAAGAAGCAACGGATGGAAGCTAATCAAGGAGAGAAGCAATCTAGAACTGAAGAGAAATTTTCTGACAGTTAGAACAATTAATCAGTGCCTCCAGAAGTTGTGACTGCTCCAACACTGGAAATTTTTAAGAAGAGACTGGACAACCATGTGTCTGAAATGGTATAGGGCACGGGTGTCAAACTCGCCACATCACGTGACATGTCGGGACGTATTGCGACTTTTTTGGCATTACCGGAGCTGGGGTGGACATGGCCTCTGCATGATGCAACCAGCCTGTGGACCTGCATCATGGTATAGGGCACAGGTCGGCAACCTGCGGCTCCGGAGCCGCATGCGGCTCTTTGAGCCTTCCCCTGTGGCTCCCAGCCTCCTCTGCCTTTGCAGAGAGAGAGAGAGAGAGGCAATTGCACTTCCCTGCTTCTCTCTCTCTCTCTCTCTCTCTCTCTCTCTCTCTCTCTCTCTCTCTCTCTCTCTCTGTGTGTGTGTGGTGTGTGTGTGTGTGTGTAAAAGATTGCACTCACAGTGTTCTCCGAGGAGCTGAAAAGCTTTCTGGACGGAGCTCCTCCCTTTGCTGCGTCTCTGCAGGAAGCAGGAAGGGCAGGAGAGAGCTAGCTAGCCCAGCTAGGCTGACTCAGGAATTCTGGGAGTTGAAGTCCATGAGTCATCAAAGAGACGAGGTTGCCTACCCCGGAGGTTGTTGGACAACAGCTTGAAGCTTGCCAGGTGAGCAGCAGATAGGGGGGGGAGAAAGAGAGAGAGAGGGAGAGAGAGAGAGTGGGGGAAGAGGAGTGGCAGACCAAGGGCAGATAGAGAGGGAGGGAGAGAGAGACCCTTTTGACATCTAAAATTAAGATAACACTGCATATATCCTTTTTTTACCTATGTGTGTATGTAATTTTATTCTCTTAAAGCATTCTCTTGGTGATCATTGTTTTAATAGTATGGGTATTCCCAAGAGTCATATTTTTACTTTTATTTTTAATGTGTATATGTGTGTGTGTGTGTGTGTGTATGTGTAAAAGAGAGTGCACTCAGTGTTCTCCGAGGAGCTGAATACACACACACACACATATACACATACACACACACACACACACACCTATAATAAAGGTAAAAAAGGATATATGCAGTGTTATCTTCATTTTAGATATCAAAAGGGTTTTGCGGCTCCCAGTGTTTTGTTTTTGGTGGGAAACGGGTCCAAGTGGCTCTTTGAGTGTTTTGGGTTGCCTACCCCTGGTATAGGGTTTCCTACCTGAGCAGAAGGTTGGACTAAAAGACCTCTAAGGTCCCTTCCAACTCTATTATTATTATTATTATTACTATTATTATTATTAAAGATTTTAAAATAGATTTATTGTATCAATGTTAATTATAGTTTAGGATGTCAGTGTAAAACTATTTGGGTTTTTTTTCATGCAGAATTGAATATATCTAAAAGCATGCGGATTGCATCAAAGTATGTGTTGTACAATAAAAGTTTTGTCTTCAGCCAATTAATGTTAAGGTATCCATTGTATTAATGTTTTATGTACATGTCAATAAAGGAAAAATAGATTAAAAAAGCAAGTTTAACAACAATTAAAAATTAGAAACAATGGCAGAGGCCATGTCCACCCCAGCTCCGGTAATGCCAAAAAGGATAAAAACTATTAGGTTTCTATTTTTTCTGTTTTTGTGCAACTGCTAATTTACAATGTTTATAAATTTTGAGTTCCCTTAGAAACCTATGATTATATTTGTCATGATTATAAATGATTATATTTGATTATATGTTTATAAATATGATTACAAATTATTATATTTCATATCATGGTTATAAATGATTATATTTGATATTAATCATGATTATAACTGATTATATTTGATATTAATCATGATTATAAATTATATTTGCCATGCTGCACGATGTATTGTATATATGGAAAACATTCTTGCTTAAATTTAGTTACACTTCTATTATGAGTATACAGTATACTATTGAGAAAATAATCAGTGGAAACTGGGTTATGTTTTTAATAATATTTTTGAAAATATTATTTGATCAAATCATAATGGAGCCAGGATTTTATTTTTATACTTGATATGAGATAAGTATCAGAAAGAGAGACTATAGTTTTAAAGAGGCACATATGTTAGCATATTAGAAAAAAGAACAATTGAACCCTGGTATGTTTACCTGTATTTTTACAAGTCTAGGAGTGCCAACTTCTTAAGCTTTTTCTAAATTCTATAAAAAAAATTATTGGTCCTAACAATTTGTCATCACATTTCATACCTCAATATGTTTCTCATGAACATTAAGTCTTTTAGTTTTTAGAGGTTGGAATAAGGGTATAACAATACGGAAGTAATGGACAACAGCCTTTTTTTTTATAGTAACGATCTTTGGAACAGACAGACACATAAAGATAGTGGCTTTTCTTTCAAAAGATACCAGCTTCTAATTTGCATTGGTTGCACTGATCAGATATGATTGCATGCCATAAAATCTGCTGAAGAAATCAACATGAATTATAGACTTACTGGCAACGTCAGCAAAATGTTGTGATCTATTTTTGCTTTTCCCCTGTCAAGCAGCAGTCTGAGCTCAAGTTGGATGTAAACCTGTGGGAAAAGGGAAGTATTGTCTCTCACAGGTTTCCCACAGGTTGAGAAATAATTTGAGCTTTCTAGTTAGAAGTCTCCTTACTTAATAGATACCAATTGCTATATGCCTGATTTCTAATTTTAAGTATAAAAACCCCTCTCCATGATAACTTATTGGCTGACAGTGGATCTACAAACAGCTACACATACAGTAGTACAGGTAGTCCTTGACTTACAACCATCTGTTTAGTGACCATTCAAAGTTTCAACAGCACTAAGTGACTTATGACCATTTTTCCCACTTACAACCATTGGAGCCTCCCCATGGTCACGTGATCAAAATTAGGATGCTTGGCAACTGGTTTATATTTATGAGGGTTGCAGTGTCCTGGGGTCATGTGAACATCTTTTGTGGCAAAGTCAATGGGGAAACCGGATTTCCTTACAGCCGTGTTATTAACTTAACAATGGCAGTGATTCACTTAAGCACTGTGGCAAGAAAGATCATAAAATGGAGTACCAGGCAGCCTAATACTGCATGGTACCAGTATATCATAAAAATCCTTCATTGCTTCCAGGTTGGTGTCTCAGGACAAGAAAAATAAAATGGAGGTCTTTGGCTGGTTGCCATCACCAACATGCAAATGCCACATGCATTTCTACCCTTGGTTGCTGCTTATATCATATCTATCCCCGCCAGTTGCTTGAGATTGAAGGTGAGTTATTTAAAGGAATTTGCTCTTACAAATTAATTTTACTCAGGTGGAGCAGCAAATGGACTTTACTTCATGATCAAGGAGCCTAAGCAGCCAAGGCCAGCCAACTTATATTGGCACCAGACTGTGCCAGTGACCATATATACAGAAAGCATTTTCTCCTTTCCAGTAGTAAAATCCAATTATCATATAAAATAATGACCAGTTTGCTGCTCAAATACAAAGGCTTCTATTAAAAACCAGCTGCCTGCAGAAGCTCATTCATTCTGTCAAGCAGCAAGAAACCCTTAGAGAGATCACCTTCCTTGCAGATGATTCAGGCAGCTACTTTCCCTCAGGAATATTGTTTCAAGCTTCTACAAATTCCACAAGGGTGAATCAAAAACACATACGTAACTGTGTGTTAAGCAAACTTAAGAGACCATATTTGGGGATCATAGCTGTGCTTAGCACAACGGCAAGAATTTGCTAAGCTTTAATGAGGGGAAAGCATGAGTCCCAAGAACATTCACAACTGTAAGCAAGCAAGAGAACTCTCCACTCATGACTTGTATGAAGGGTCATCTCAGAGCTGCCCCAATATACATTATTTCCACACCACATTTTAGCATTTTAAATAGGAGACTGGGTAATGATCTCAGGCAGTTTCCAAAGTTTTAAAAGGCTAGGCACCACATCGCAGCCTGACAGAGAGAATAAACATTTTAAGATAGTGAGGAAACATGCGAAGAATGTTCCTCCAGGCCATTTCCTTGACTTGTTTATGTTGCATATTCAAGGCCCTGAACAGTATGGGATGATGTGTTGTGCTATACTATACAAAACAGTCCTATATGTGAAAAGTCCAGAACTAGAAGGGAAGCAGGGGACTTAAAGGCATTTAAGTTGTTTTTCCTCCAAACTAATCATCAAAGATGTGGTGGGTGAGGGAGAAGAATGTAGCAATAAACAACATCCCCTCACACCAACACTCCACCCCAATAAGTCATACGATTCCCCAAGCTGCGATTAGTTCCAGGGAAGATGGGGGGAAGCTTCTGTTGGACTTATAGAATTTCCCTTTCAAGGAGTCTCAGGAAGCATTTCTAATTAGCAGGGGAGAAAACAATAAGATCATTTCTAATTTGATGCTCTCTCTGCAAGTTAATAAAAAGAGAAGGAAAAAACAGCAGATGAGCCATTAGATAACCAGTTTTAGTAAAAGAGGACTTGGTAGCCATTTTTGCCTGCAAAAATAGAAGGGGGGAAAGGAATTTTCCAGAAGACTTGGATAATCCTTAATACAAGCAGATCATAAACCTAAGGAAAATGGAGAATCGTCTCTAGATTTCTTGCTTATGTTGTTTTGACTCCTGGCACAGTCTTCTCTTCCTTTTTTATTAGTTTATTTTTTTTATGTTCCAGAAACAGCTGCCCTTGCAAGTTGCTGCTTGCTAGAGACCAATATTTCTCAGGCCTGTTCAGCCATACCAATCACCAGGAAGATTGTTGAGGGTAAGTCACCTCCTGCTTTCCTTTTGTTATAGAGATAAATCCACAGTTGAAGGATCTCTTTTTGCTTCAAGTGATCATTCAATCACTGAAGGTTTAGTTCAGTGTTTCTCAAACTTTAAGGTGTGTGGACTCCAAATTCCAGAATTCCCCAGCAGGCAGTATATGGGCTGGGGAATCCTGGGAGTTGGAGTCAACACATCTTAAAGTTGCCAAGTTTGAGAAGTAAACTGACAGTCAAGTATCACAACTAAAACTTGCTCAAACTCTAATACTTTAAGACAGGGGTTCTCAACCTTGGCAACTTTAAGACGTGTGGACTTCAACTCCCAGAATTCCTCAGCCAGTTTTGCTGGCTGAGGAATTCTGGGAGTTGAAGTCCACACGTCTTAAAGTTGCCAAGGTTGAGAACCCCTGCTTTAAGAAGAATTTACCCTTACTTCTGCTTCTTGGTTTGGATCCGCGATGTGCTTCTGACTGATACTAAAAAAATAAGCACACTGCCAAAAATAAACTTCCATCTGTCCACCCTATTGCCCCAAGTAGGCAGCCAATAATAGTCATGGTAGATTCTGATACAATCTGCTCACAGTATTTCCTGCATCTCTGATTTGCTTTGTTGACAAAAGGGAATACAAAAAAATGTTTTTCCTAGCTTTCTTTGATGAAGAGCAATCAGATAGCCTTAATCCCCTCATATTTCCATAACCGTGAGCAGTAATCCACAAGCAGACCTACTGTTTCTTTTGTCTTCCAATTTTCTCATCTGTTATGCCAGATAATAAATAACCTGTGTATGAAGAGATTCATCAACTCTCTGCAAAACAGACGGATGCTCAGCCTCTACTAGTCCTATAATCTCAGAGCGTGTTGCATACATTTGTATACTACTTTATTTTAAATCCATGTATTTCTACTTTCTTAATTGGAAGTCACAGAAAAAATTAAATATCCACAAAATAATGAGCATCATCAGTTATTAAAATAGAAATTTAGCAAAATTAAGAAAAAAAGTTGAACAAGCAAAGGCTACTTCCTTTGAGGCTACATATGCTAATTTCTGTAGCAATAGAAATAATGTGAGGTGCATCAGCCCTGTCCACCAAATTGTTTCTTTAATGGCATAGAATAGAAGAAAGCTCACCTGGTGTCCTATTTCAATCTCTGTTGTACTGTCATTATACATAAAAGGGTTAAAAGTGGAGTAACAGAAGGCCAGGTAATTATCTATACTATTGTTTCTCATGGCCCTGAAACTTTTTGTGCCTTCTGATAGAAGATATTACAGATAAGATAATGTAAATTCTTGCCTGTTGCTTGTATGTCTCCTTGCTTTTGCCTGCTTTTTATCTCCTTTTCTAATTAACTGTTTTTGATGTTTGCTGATATTTAATAAATAAACTTTTTTTTTTTGCTACCTGATTTCAATGGTATTAGTGCTTGTTCTGATTTGGCTTTAATGATTGTTTGAAAGTACAAACAATAGGTACAAACTCAACTGGAAATTACCCACAATAATTTTCCAGCAAGTAAGAATGCAGACTTTCCTCCTATTTATACTAGCAATCATGCTTGAACAACAAATTGCCTTTACATTTAAATCAATGGGAGGAAAAAGAGAAATAGGAGCATAACAATTTTTTTAAAAATCCTTTGGAAACCACTGTGAAGCTTGGCTCTATAACTAAGAAGATCTTCCTAAAGTAGTTGATTCTAACTGTTCTTTTATCGAAGTCACCTATAATCAGAACATTTGATTGTATCTGTCTTTTTTCCAAATGGCCCTCAGTGTATGTATAGCGTTTTAAACAGAATTACAATGAACTCAGTAAGCCATACATGTCTCTGAGCTTCATCCAAAAGTTGTCTGTTCTTGGTGAACCCTTTAGAGGTTGGTTGGTTGTTGTTGTTGTTTTAGGTATCTAGTTCGTGTTATTTGTTCAGATTTCAGTAGATAACAACTCCAGGATTAACAGGGGTATGGTTAGGCACAACTAACACAGCACCAAGTTTGTTTAGAGATACTATTTTTTAAAATATATTTCATTAATTGTTTACAATAACAATCTTTAGTGCTTAGTGAACAATGTGTTGTCTGGATTCATATATTTAAAAACAATAATAATTACTATAATTGATCAATATATTAGTTGATAATATATTTCCTTGATCCTCTCTTCTTCCAGTAATATTCTCCTTTTGTCTACATTAAACAAATATAATTCTTAATACTTTCAATACATAAAGAGTTGGGTATAAACATTTTTCTAGTATTTGTACATATAACAATAACATCAACATATAACATCTTTTCTAATCGGCTTATGTTTCAATTGTATTTATAGAAGTCATCTTATTAAGTCATTATATGTCCTGTTTTCAAGATTTTTATTTAAGCTTAATTTCCCCTCAGTATTGAAACCACTCTTATCAGTCATAATTTTCTCAAAATTCATTATCTTTGAATATCCAGACTTTTCATTCAAGTACACCATCTCAATATTTTTACATTTCATATATTATAAAAGTATTATACTACTTATATATCTTATCCCTCTTACTATAGGACCCCTTTATGTCCAAGCTTTGTCTATTCTTTTAACCATGTTCAAGTAAGTAATTAATCATATAGTACGCCACCTAGCAATTTTACTATAGGGCCTCTTTATATCCAAACTTTATATTTTTAACTGTATTCAAACAAGTGTTTAGTCATATAGTATTCCATCTGGTAAGTTGAATCACATCTCTTAAATCTAATTCTAATCTTTTGCCAGGTCGCTTTCCAAATGTAAAGTGAAGTATTAATACCACTGTACAATGCCTTGGTAAGGCCACACTTGGAGTAGTGTATCCAGTTTTGATCACCACAATGTAAAAAAGATGTTGAGACTCTAGAAAGAGTACAGAGAAGAGCAACAAAGATGATTAGGGGACTGGAGGCTAAAACATATAAGGAACGGTTGCTGGAATTGGGTATGTCTAGTTTAATGAAGAGAAGGACGAGGGGGGACATGATAGCAGTGTTCCAATATCTCAGGGGTTGCCACAAAGAAGAGGGAGTCAAGCTATTCTCCAAAGCTCCTGAAGGCAGGACAAGAAGCAATGGATGGAAACTAATCAAGGAGAGAAGCAACCTAGAACTAAGGAGAAACTTCCTGACAGTTAGAACAATTAATCAGTGGAACAACCTGCCTCCGGAAGCTGTGAATGCTCCAACGCTGGATGTTTTTAAGAAGAGACTGGACAGCCATTTGTCTGAAATGGTATAGGGCCGTGCTGGCGAACCTATGGCATGCATGCCACAGATGGCACGCAGAGTCCTCTCTATGGGCACACACACCATCACCCCAGTCCTAGGCCTTCAGCCTATAAAAACTTTTCACTTTAGGCCTCCACCGCCGTGTGCAAAAAAAAAAAAGGTTCAATCAATCAATCAATTTCAACTTCTCATGGGAAAAAAAAAGATCTCGCAAAGTTGGAATTGATTGATTGAATTTTTTAATCCTACCCAGTGTGCCTTTACCACCGCAGCCACACCCACCCAATGGGCATGCCCACCCAATGGGCCACGCCCACCCGGCACCCAGCGATACATAAGTGGGTTTTGGATAGCAGTTTGGGCACTCAGTCTCTAAAACAGTGGTTCTCAACCTGAGGGTCGGGACCCCATTTGGGGTCGAACAACCATTTCACGGGGGTCGCCAAACAAGGCTGTCCGCCATTTTTTTCCCCTTTTCTTTGGCCACGCCCCTGGCACCCGGTGATGTATAAGTGGTTGGGGGTCACCACAACATGGGGAACTGTATTATGGGGTCACGGCATTAGAAAGGTTGAGAACCACTGCTCTAAAAGGTTCACCATCACTGGTATAGGGTTTCCTGCCTGAGCAGGGGGTTGGACTAGATGACCTCTAAGGTCCCTTCCAACTTTATTATTATTATTATTATTGAAACATGCACAGCAGTTATGCATATGGCTTTATTATATTCAGCTGAGATTGCAATGAGTTATGTCATGAAGCTCGCATTGCTAAAGTAAATAAGACTTTTAATTCTGATATGTTCAATGACTGCAAGTGCAGGCTATAGCTAATAATTATAAACCAATTGATTAGTTGTGGGCATTAAAAGTCACAGAAATATAAATAGATAAAAAAAACCCTCATTGCATGACCTCACTTTGTAATCAAGGCCCCTTTTTTAAATTATCCTCAGTTTTAAGTGTGTGTGCGTGGGGTGCAGAATGTACTGTATACACATCTGATAAAATCAGTATAGATAGTCCTCAACTTACACGTTCATTTAGTGACAGTTCAAAGTTACAACGGCACTGAAAAAAGTGACTTATGACCGTTTTTCACACTTACGATGGTTGTAGCATCTCCATGATCACATGATCAAAATTCAAACTCTTGGCAACTGATTCATATTTATGACGGTTGCAATGCCCCAGGGTCACGTGATCCCCTTTTGCGAACTTCTGATAAGCAAAATCAATGAGGAAGCCAGATTCTCTTAACAACTGTGTTACTAACTGAACATCTGCAATGACTCACTTAACAACTGTGGCAAGAAAGATCGTAAAATGGAGCAAAACTCACTTAACAACTGCCTCGCTTAGCAACAGAAATTTCAGACTCAATTGTGGTTGTAAATTGAGGACTACCACTATGTATCTTTATAGGAGAACCTCAGATGTATTAATAATCTCAATATGTGAGAACTTGTTTCAGCCATATTAACTTTGGTATAGTTAGTTCTATATTTTTGTGCTGTTCTGTTTTTTTTATGGCTCCACCTCTCAAGCCCTAAAAATAGCTTCCAGGATTCCTCTTTTACAAGGTTCAGACATGCTGGAAAATTATAGGAAAAAGCCAGGAAGAAAGATCAGTGACATTACCTATCACCACTGTTGCTACTCTAGGCTACATAAAATAGCCCACAGCTTGGAGAGAAGATATCTTCATATCAGACATGCTTCTGAAGATAACACCAGAAATGGGATAGGCCGTGTATTCAGTAGAATAAATCTTTTCTCTTTTCCATGGAATGGAGACAGCTAGATTGCTCCTTTTGCTTAACCAATTAAAAAGGAGATAAGTTACTCCTTATGACATGTAATTGTTTGGGTGGCTGATTTGATCGCAATTCTGAGATTGCCCATTTAATCATTCCTTCTACTCCTCCCTTTCTTCTTTTTTCTGACAAGAGTTCATTGACCAACCTGTAGATAATACTGGCCAAAGAAAGAAGGCAAAAAAGAACAGGTTTGTGTGGAATTTTCGTAATGAAATTATTTAAATACATATACAACTATTGTAATTTCCACAGAAATATAGGTGGAGGTAGATTGGGACTACCTACTTAGTCTATTTTTGCGTTAAAAAAAGCATCAGGGGTAGTTTCAAGGAACTTAAGTTTTAAATTTCCCTTCACAGGGTTATTTGTATTTAAGTAAGACTCAGGCAGATCTGGTTTAAAGTCCTCCAACTGACATGTCTTCAGATAGATAACTGGGCAGAATTCACTCTGATAAAATTGTTTCCAAGCTGTAAATAAGGAGATATCCCAAAGAAATTTAAAATCTCCAAGTATCTCTCTCCAAACAGCACAATACCTTCCAGCCTTGTCAGTGAACTTCAGAGAAGAGGCAACTGCATAACAGTATTTTGAATGCCTGCAGAGGTATATTTTTATGAAAGAAATAGCATGAAGTGTAAACTTGCTGCCTTAATGCAATATGAAACTTGGGGAGTTGTGATTATAAATTCTAACTCCAAGCTCTTGCTGGCCTTGAGTAAGTCATTAATCTATTCTGATTCTATTTTCTCATCCATGAATAAGATAACTTAATGCCTGCCTTACTTACAGGTGCAGTGTGGATTCATTAATGTACTGATTCTTCCCCCTTCAAACTAATATCAATGTTGTCTCATATATATTCCTTCCTTCTCCAGAATCAGCCTGTTTAGACTGGCTCTTTTTAGTATTTTTATAATTACCAGTGCATCTGTAACAGGTTTGGTCAACAGCACCTGTTAGATTAAATTAGTTTTTACAATGTTTTTATAACACAAATTAATGCTGTTTAACTCAATGTCAAACTATATACATTGCATGAACTTCATCTGTTTGTCACTGCTTTTACTAGGGGGAAAAAAAGGCAGTGATCTGGAGCATAATATATACTATGCTTTTTTTTCCTGCACAGAAAAGAATAGATTAAGCCACCTCTCTACAGGTACTGGTTCTGATTTAAATTATTAAAAATAAGTGTCTCTGTATTCAATAGAGCTATTTTTTTAGTAAATAAACACAGGACTGCAGTTTTAAGTCCCTAAATACACTTGAAAATATTACTGGTTCATTTTAAATGTAGATTCCTGCAAGCCTACATTTCAAACCTGAAGAACTGAAGGAATGTAACTGCTACCTACATGAGGACGTAAAGAGAAGATGTACTACAGGTAATCTTCAACTTATAGCCATTCATTTAGTGACCATTTCAAGTTACAATGGCACTGGGGAAAAAAGGGACCTATGGCTGGTTTTCACATGTACACCCTTGCAGCATTCCCAGGGTCATGGGATCAAAATTCAGGCGCTTTGCAACTGGCATGTATTTATGACAAGGGATCATCTAATTACCAGTTGTAACCTTCAAGTCGGCTTCTGACAAAATAAGGTAACCTTCATTGTCATTTTTTTTTACTGTGGGCACACTGGCACACATTAAAAATGAAATTCTATTGCCTGCTCTCAAAAGCGCACACATACATAACACACATATAGACATGCTATATACATACATATGTATATACCTACACCCTTACAAGCAAAGCCAATGGGGGAAACTGAATTCAGTTAATAACTGCAGTGATTCTCTTATCCATGGCAAAAAGGTCTCAAAATGGGGCAAAATTCACTTAACAACTACCTTGTTTAGCAACAGAACTTTTGGGCTCAAAAATTTGGTTGTAAGTCGAGGACTACAGAACAAGAACAGAACAGAACAGAATAGAATAGAATAACAAAGATGGAAGGGACCTTGGAGGCCTTCTAGTCCAACCCCCTGCTCAGGCAGGATACCCTGACCTATACCGTTTCTGACAAATGGCTGTCCAGTCTCTTCTTAAAAACTTCCAGTGTTGGAGTATTCACAACTTCTGGAGGCAAGTTGTTCCACTGATTAATTGTTCTAACTGTCAGGAAATTTCTCCTTAGTTCTAGGTTGCTTCTTTCCTTGATTAGTTTCCATTCATTGCTTCTTGTCCTGCCCTCAGGTGCTTTGGAGAGTAGCTTGACTCCCTCTTCTTTGTGGCAACCCCTGGTTGCCACAAGACACTAATGAATATTAACCAGATTAACCTGCTAGTCATAAAATCATTTAGAAGATGTATCATCTTCTAAAAGCAGCCTTTCCAATACATGGAAAGTGACTGGAAAAGAAAAAAAGAATATTGTCTACTTATGCAAATAATATTAGAAGGAGAGATGTGGGGTCATAGTCTACATTACCTAGGTGATGGCTTGCCAGCACAAGATCAGTTGCACTTAAGACTAGGAATAATGTGTTTGGCTGAGGTATGTTGAACTTAAAAAATTTTTACTTTGAAGCCCGTGGAGGCCGAGAGATGAAAAGCTTGGACTAAAAGTTTTACTTAAGAACTTATGCACTCCGTGAATAAATTAACAATAGTGGACTCTATTAAACCAGGGCTTTTCAACCAGTGGTACAGGTACCACCTGTGGTACATTGGCACCTGGCAGGTGGTACGCGACCATCCTAGAAAAGTGGTAGCGAGGGAGGGGAATGAGCTGAACCGGTGACAGCAAAACAGAAGCCTGAGCGAGAGATGACTGGAGCTGCAGGGCTTTCAGGGCTCAGTGGAAGTGCCAGGCTCCAGCTGGAGCTCAGTGCTGATCCTGGCGCTTCTGCTGAGCCCAGAAGAAGCGCCGATTAGCTGGAATGTTGCAGCATCTCCAGGGTCTTGTGATTTACATTCAGATGCTTGGCAACTGATTCATATTTATGACGGTCACAGTGTCCCAGGGTCATGTGAAGTGACCAAAACCTGCTGCAACCACCCAGCAGACGGGGGGAATAAAAACCAAACACCCCCCCACCCCACCCCCGCTGCCAATCCCCAACAGAAATGCTCACAACAATGAAAACTTCAGACAGGAGGAAGAGCACCGCCGGGTGGGCAGGAAGGCGTCTTGCTCAGCTGTGCCTTGGGGGGGCACTTTTTTTAATGCTATTGTAATTTCGAACAGTCACTAAGTGACCTGTTGTAAGTCGAGGACTACCTGTACTTTATCACTTTTTTCCCTTTTTTTTTTTTGTCATCACGTTTTTGACATCTTGCTAGGCGATTGGTGGTACTCGGATGTTGCCATATCCTAAAAGTGGTACAATAGGTTAAAAGGTTGAAAAGCCCTGTATTAAACAACTTGTTGATAAAGTTCTTGGCTTTCATTGTTTCTGTTAGGATGGTCAGAATATGGGAAATATACAAGGCGGAACCTGAACTCTTGAAACAAGATAGTTAATGTTATATAATAGACATACTGTAGCTGAGACGTGATAGGATGATTCTTATTATGGAAATGCAGCAACTGAAGGATACTTTTTGGCCATGGAGTAGAAGCAACAGAAAAGATGAACTGTATTTATGTTCAATACTCATGCCCACACAGACATATTTAGCAGTAAGAACATCTCTATTAAAAGTAATTGGGAAAAAAATCATAGGTCATTGTCATTATCTGTTGAACTAAGGAGAACTGTGGATGATGCTTTCTAAAAGCAAACTGAAGGTCTTTTAAAGTAGTGACGGGAAATGTAATTACTCCAGCATCTGTTGAGAGACGAAGTCTGCCAAGCATAGTCCTTCTTAAAAAAAAAAAAAAATACTGACTTGTCTTGCTGATAACTTTCTCCTTCAAATGGCAGAAGGCACAAGATAATTATCCATCCTTGATTTGATCTAAACCAGTAGAGCAAGTAGCAGGAACTTTCAAGGACAGTGACCATGTGAGACTGGAACGTGATTGTAGAATGGGAAGGCAGAATTATTCAGCTCCATTTTGCTTCTGCCTCTTCAGAGAAGGAATGTATTCTACCAAGTAACTGTGAACGGCCAGTTGAAGGAGCAGGATTCCAGCTCCAGCCTTTTTTTTTTTTTTTTTGCATCTTGGAAGGCCAAGTTGATTAAACTCCACAGGTTAATTGTCCTGACACCTGCTTTAGAGAAAAAACTAATAGGGAATTTTGCAACATTTTCTCTGCAGCTGCAAGACAAAGTAAATTCCCAGGGACATTAAAATCTCCTCAGGCCTCCTCCGATTTCCAGAATTCCTCCTCCTTCCAGAAGACAAGGCAGTGTGTTGCCTCATCTTCTTTCGCTTATCCCTCCATGCACTGATGCTCATCTGTCAGCAGTTGGCTTTCTGCCTTTTCTTCACTCACTGTGAGAAGGGAACAAAGAGGAAGGTGCAGCTTCCTTCTGTTTTTGGCATACACACACACACACACTGGCTGAATGAATAGAAACAGCCTGGGGAAGAGACAATGGGGACAAATGTGTTATATAGAGTACAGTGCATTGTTGTACAATTATACAAATATAAATATAACGAAAGGGATGGATTGGTGTCCATGTGGAATGAGCCATAGATAAAGTTACTGATTTAGAATAAGTGCAGATCTCCAGAGCTAGATGAATTGTATCCTAGAGTACTACAGGAGTTTATTGATGCCAAATCTCTATTTTTGTCTTTGAGAACTCTGCACAATGGGTAAAATACTAGATCAGTGGAGCACAGATATGGTCCCTGACTTCATTAAAGGGGGGGGGGAGAGTCTAGATAGACATGAGTCAGTCCGACATTAATACCTGAAAAGATTTCACAGTTCATAAAGGATTTGATCAGTAAGCAATTTGGAAATGATGCAGTGATTGCTAAAAGTGAGTATGATTTTCTGTTATTTCATTTCTTTTATCCAGGAACATCCTTAGAATACTGTGAAAACGCTTGGGACATAATACAACTTAACTGCAACAAAGCATTTGCCAAGTACCCAATGACATTTTGATTAGTAAGTGAGTTAAATTTTGATTTGATGACAACTCAATTCAGTGAATTCCCAGCTGGTCTGAAACTGGTACTCAAAGAAAGCTCATCCAAGTGGAATGAAGTATTAAGTGGGGTACCACAGAGTAGAAATTCAGACACAATATTTCTCTTTAAAATTGTGGGATTGGAAAAGACCATTTCGGTAATTGAATCTGAACACTCAACCTACTCAGTGAGGGCATCTCAACTAAATTCTCCTCAACTTTAAGTTGCCTAACTCTTCTTAGATACTCTTTTTCATTAAGTGGATAAAGCAACGGAGAGAATGTTTAATTTCTAGGGGGCACAAAACCCGATGGGGTGAATAATAGTTTAAAGAAGAAATAAAATGGCACTGAAAAGTCCAAAAAAATGTTAGTTTCATCAACAGAACCACAAGAAGCTAAATCCAGAAATGAAGAGCATTCATTTATTCTGCTTTGGTCACAACCCATATACATATATTGTGCCCAGTTCTGGGTGCCTCGTTTCCAGTTTAGCTGAAAGATTCAGTTAAAGTGGAACAAGTACAAATGAGAAGAGCAAAAGATCATCAGGGGAATGGAATGGAAAGTAATCTTAAGGGGAGAGACTGTGATATTTTTAGCTTTGAGAAAATATAGCTAAGGAAGGATCTAATAGCATTTTCCAAGTACTTGTAAAATGACAAGCCAATGGAAGGTCAAGACCTGTTCCCTATCACTGTGGAATGCAGAATACAAAATCATGCTCTGAAGGTAGTAGAGTTAAGTTGAACATTAGGAAAAGAACAGATCATTGGTAGGACCAACTAGGAAGGACACAGATTATTTCCTTTCCTTTTCAAGCAGAAACTGGATGACTGTTTCTCAGGGAGCTTTAATTGGAATTCCAGCACTGATCAGACTTCGTAAACGAAATGGTCCTTTCTAATCCAACTAAATGCCGTAATCTAATTGTGTAGCAGCCCTAATTTATTTCTATAAAGCATGCCATAATCTAGATTGATCAAATGAAAATGGGCTATTGGGTATCATGTTTCTGTCTTCATCTGAATCTGTTAACAAGGAAAGGAAGGCAGGATCGTTCTTCCTTGTGATTACTGTTCACATTATGTTGACAAAGTCCTTTCCATGAAGACAAACCTTATACAACAATACTTGGTCTTTTTGTGAACCTTTAAGTAAAAAGGCTCCTATATCATGGATAGAATTAATATGCACTCAATTTCTATGTACATTAATTCTTTCAGAGCTATCCCAAAATTTTATAAACATCAGGAGCAGTAATTAGGCTCTCATTCCTTTCATGTTGCATATATGCAATCTGCATATGCAAATCTGTATGCAATTTGACAAATGTGGCAGGATCAGAACACTTCCAATTTGCTGTTTTCTTTTGTGTTCCTACTGAAAGGATACCCCCAGATAGTTCTTTGTGGCCTTACTGGAATTGCCATCTCATCCCAAATTTCGGAAAAACTTTCTCACTCACAGTTACCCTCTGAAATTCAGCTGGCTGGAAAATCCAGTCCAGGCTTATCACTGGGTTTTACTTATCTTGTTTTAAAAAAAAACAGATGGTGTTTTGTAATCTACTTTGTATCTTATTGGCATGAGCTGCCTTAAGCTTTGCTTCCTAACAACAAAGATGACAAATTTAGCAAATAAATACTATGATTCCATTCAAAGGGAATTCAACGTATACTTGTCCAGAGAGAGGCAAAACTTTCCATCAATTTTAAAATGTAATAAAATTAATTTTGAGTTGACTTGGACATTAATACATTTTTCAATCATGCTGCCCTTGTATGGAGCTGACAAGCCTAACTGACAGTGATTAGAATGCAGTATTGCAGGCTAATACTGCTGACTGCCGGCAGTTCGATTCTGATCAGTTCAAGGTTAACTCAGCCTTCCATACTTCTGAGGTGGGTAAAATGAGGACCCAGATTTTGGGGAGCAATATGCTGACACTATAAACTTAGTGTTTATAAGCTTAGAGGGGGCTATAAAGCACTGTGAAGTGGTATATAAGTCTAAGTGCTATTGCTGTTGCTAATCTAATCTGACAGTGGTAGTCATGACAGACCTATCCTGTCAGCTTTGCCTCAGCTTCTTCTAAAGGTTACTGCCCTCATTTCCACAATATCCTGATTGATTCTTCTGCTGTTTTAAGATATGAGGCTTCAAATATGGGAATATATTTGCTTTGTGCTGTTTGCTTCATGCATTTGCCATATGCATTGGGTTGACCTCTGTCAGAAGAAAAATGCTGAATTTTACCAGCAAAATTCTTTCAATGATCTTATTGTGGTAGCAATTTAAGGCTCTTTCTGACAAGGCATTGCCATTTTAATGTTGACTTTTGCCACTGGTATAGAATCTGTGTACCCATCCTACAAAGATCTGTGTGTCCTTGAATTGTAATTGGAGAATATAGTATATAGCTTTCAAGATCAGTTGAAAACTACAACATTGCTTCTTGAGCTAAGATAAGCTGATTTTTACTGCAATTTATAACATACAAAGCAGACAAATATTTTATGCACATAAGCAAAAGATAATGCATTATTATATTTACAATAAATATAGGCCTTGGAGGAAAAGAACATTCATACTTTATTTTTAGAAAATGAAGGATGACACACCTATAACACAGTTGTGAAGCCTATAAACATCCTCAGGATGCCTCTTGCCAAAACCCTATTCGTGATATATAAAGGATGAACAGACTGCTTTTGGGTGTTTTTTGTTTTGTTTTGTTTTGTTTTGTTTTTGTTTTAAGACCATTTTAAGAGCTGTTGAATTTCTCAGCTATTGTCTGGTGAATTTATGTCTCACTCCATATGTTGGATTGTAAACCTTTCAAGATCCAGATTTGGTGGGCATCTATAAATGGGATTTTCTCACCTTGCCTTGAAGTTCATTGACTGGAAATTGTGTTGGAGAAGTTGCACCTAAAATACCTGCCTTTTTTTTTTAAGAAGTTTTGACACTTTTTAAAGCTTCATTGGGAAGGAGGTTTCCTCGTCAAAGCAGCTAGCAAGGCCGCACAGGGAGAGTTAAATGCCAAAATACTTTCTTATACTGACTTATACTTTACAGATATTCAGTCTGTAAAAAAAACAGGTAGACCTAAAGCATAAGGCTTTCATTTTGAGATGGACAAAATATTAGATAAAACAGATTTGCACTGTGTGCACGTGAAATATTAAGAGAAAATATTCCACTTTTCAATAAACTTGTAGAATATCGCTAATCAGCAATAAGCAATTCAGCTATTGATGATCTGTGACCTCACTCATTATGCTATTCATTTAAGCCAATATACACATTCTGCTGCAATTCATCATGATTCTGAGTAAGCCCTTTAAATTATGAATTAATGAACATCCATTATGTTTTGTATAAATCTGAGTATAAAAATGATACCATGAGGGTAAAGCTGAGACAATAGATAAAACCACAAACTTGGAATTGGAACAGAAATTGAAACTGAAAAAAATGATTTTAGGAAACGCAAAACACCAAACGAAAAGAAATAATAATATGATTTGAAATGACTGAATGATAATAATATAAATATATTGCTTTGTATTATATTGGGAATGTGTCCAACTTTCCCATTCTGACCTCTGTAGATAAGAGTGGAGACAGCAAAGCCAAGAGAAAGGTAAGCATAGTATTTTCACTCTTTCTATTTAGTGAAATTTTAAAAGAGGTAAACACGGGTTTGGTGTACTGGTTAAGGCACAAGACTAGAATACCATGAGTTCTAGTTTTGTTTTAGGCACAAAGCCAGCTGAGTGACCTTGGACCAGTCACTAGGAAGGAGGCAATGGCAAACTACTTTTGAAACATTGCCAAGAAAACTGCAGGGACCCGTCTAAATAGTAGCCAGGAGTTAACACTGACTTAAAGACACACATGCACACAAAAAAGTCATGGCTATTATCCCTGTAAGTTTTCCAATGTTTTTCAGTGGTTCTATAACAGTGGTTCTCAACCTTTTTAATGCCGTGACCCCCAACCAGTCGTAAGTCGAGGACTACTCAACCGGTCGTAAGTCGAGGACTACTCAACTGGTGCAGCACCGTTTGCAGAATGGGACTTTTGGCGGGCTTAGCAGGGCAGAGACAGCCTGGACAATTCCTATTGGCTTTTAAAAGCCAATAGAATTAGACTCTATTCAAGAGAGTCTATTCTATTGGCTTTCAAAAGCCAATAGAATAAAAGGGAGTAGCACAGCTAAGGAAAAGGGGGAAAAAATGGCGGACTGCATTGTTTGGTGACCCCCGTGAAATGGTCATTCGACCCCAAATGGGGTCCCGACCCACAGGTTGAGAACCACTGTTCTATAAGCACGTTTCATTTCACTATTGTGTAGAAATGCCATAAAAAGGAATCCAAATGATTTTTTCCCCATTCTCTTTATCAGATAAGATCCTTTCCTTCCTTTGTGGAAACTAACAAGGCCTATCTTACTTAACACAGTTCAGGTCTCAAACATGGAGCTTCTATGACTCAGGAAAAGGCATAGTAGCACACAGCTGGCCTTTCATGTGGATGAAGATTGCATAAAAGCAAATATTTCCTTCCCTGTTCTCCAACCTGGCTTATCACAACAGCTCTGAAAGTTGCTGCATCCAACGGTTCTTTAGACCCAACAAGGTAGAGTAAGAGCAGTTCAAATAAACTTAAATTAAAATAAAAGAGCATATCTTTTTAAGACTGAAACTCATATTTGGCTGGAAACGTTGTAAATCAGAGACTATACTCTGAAAAGTACAGGTAGTCCTCGACTTGTTTAGTGACCATTCAAAGTTATAAAATATGCGACTTATGACCATTTTTCACACTTATGACCATTGCAGCATCCCTATGGTCATGTGATCAAAATTCAGACGCTTGGCAACTGACTCATATTTATGATGGCTGCAGTGTCTCAGGGTCATGTGATCACCTTTTGCAACCTTCTGAGAAGCAAATT